GAGAGACAGAGAGACAGAAAGCGAGAAATCACCCCCCAGGGGGGATGGCCATGCTGCAATCCCTTCTCCTCCATTCTCCTCTCGGGATCTTGGGCATGCACGCACATGCGCCCGGTGTGAGTTTAAGCCACTGAGTCTGGGACTCAAACCACGGTCGACTACGTGGGAGTCCAGCGACATAGCCATTATGCCAGCTGCTGGTCCCCAGGCCTCCATAGGTTTTTGCATAGGGCGGGTGCCATCATGCCCCTATTTGTGCTCTCAATCCCTATGGGATGGAGAAGGGATGCCGTGTACCACACCCGACTAGGGGTGCTCCCTCTCTCTCTCTCTCACACACTCAAGCCCTCTGGCAATTTAAAATAATGGGGACTGGTGGGGCCAGCAGATGATGAGGTGGTTAAGATGCTGGACTCCTGCATGGCCAACCTTGGTTCAAATCCTGGACCTGGCAGCTTGCTGTCTCACTTTCCTCTCTCACTCTCTGTCTCTCTCTGGTAACAAGTGTCCTATGGCAACTTAAGATCATCATCATAAGTAAAATTAAACAATTCTAACACGTAAGAGGATGGGGCTGGGATCCAGTTATTGTACAAGGTGACCGCGTACTGGAGAAAGAAAACCATCCTGACCGTCCAGGGATTAGCGGTCACTAGAGAAGATGGAGCCATGAGGTCAGTTCAAACCGCACCCAGTGAGCCGCAGCCAGAATTCAGGATGGACCTGATTTTGTTCCCATGGAAGCAAAGATTTAGATCATCCAAGGGGCTGGTACCCAAACCCAGACTAGATTGGGGAACACTGAGGGTTATTGGACGCATGCTTCCGTTTCTCTCGGGTGAATGCCCAGGACCGGGGAGGCGGGGTTGAATAATTAGAGTGTGCAATACATATAAGAAATCGCCGGGACCAGCCGTTGGCGTAATGGCTATGTCATTGGATTCCCATGTAGTCGACTGTGGTTCGAGTCCCAGACCTGGTGGCTTAAACTCACGCTGGGTGTGTGTGCAGGCCCAAGATTCTGAGAGGAGAGTGGAGAGAAGGGATTGTGGCGTGGCCATCCCCCCCAGGGGGGTGATTTCTCACTTTGTCTTTCTGGGGAGCGCACGCACCCTATAGCAAAAACCTCTCAAAAAATTTTTTTAAAAAGGAAAAGAAAAAGAAAGAGATCGCCAACCTCCTTTTTCTCAAGCGGTGGCGTCATTTCCACTTCACGTCTCCCCCAGCAACGTTTGAAGGTCCCACTTGCTCTGCATCGTTATCAGCACTTGCTATTAGCACTGCTATTAATTAGCTGTCTAATAGGTTTATGCTTTTCATTTGAATCTCCCTAATGGCTGATAACGTTGGGCATCTTTTATGCGCTTCTTGCCATCTGCATAGCCTTGGTAAAGTATCTGTTTAATCTGTAGCTCATTTTAAAGACCACGTATTTGTTTTCTCGTAAGCTCTTACAGTGAGCGTACTCTGGCTACGGGCTCTCTGTCAGCGATGTGTTTTGCAAATGTTTCCCTTTAGTATGGCGGGGAGGGGGGGCTCGTCTTTTCTTAGTGTCTTTTAGAGAGCAGAATTTTTTGCTTTGCTGACAATGAGATCCAATGTATTAATATTTTGTTTTATTTCATTTAGTTTTGGTTTGCTATCAGGTAATTGCAGTTGCTGGAGAGAGACGGAGAGAGAGAGAGGAGAGAGGGAAAGCACTTCCCCAGGGGGTGGCCATGCCACAGTCCCTTCTCTTCTATTCTCCTCTTGGAATTTTGGGGACACATGCACACGTACCTGATGTAGTTTTCAAGCCACCAGGTCCAGGACTCGAACTGCATGTTGGCCACATGAGATCCAGCCACCTTAGCTACCACACCACCAGTTGGTCCATTTTTTAAAAAATGTATTTATTTATTTATTTTTATTCTCAGAGGGTGCATGCTCTTGCCAGAGAGAGTGAGAGAGAAAGACCCCCCCAGTGCGGCACGGTGATGCCACAGTCCCTTTTCTCCCATTTCTCTGTCTCTTCAGGATTTGGGGCATGCACACAAATGCCCCGCGTGTTTTTCAAGCTTCCCCGGGCCGGAACTTGAGCTGTGGTCAGCCATGTGGGATCAGGCTCCCAAAGCACAGCACTGAACTACCGTGCTATGGGGCCAACCCACCATTTATTTGCTTTTACAATTCATGTTTCTATTGGGCTGAGAAGTGGTTGACTCACTCAAGGTCAGAAAGATTTTCTGCTAGAATTTTTTTAGTTTTAAGCTTTACATTGAAGTCGGCGATCTGTTTTGAGTTCATTTTTGTATATGAAGTAATGTAGGGAGTCAGGGCTCTGGTTTTGCCCCCGGGTAGTCAAATTACTCCAGGACTATTGAGTTGAAAACTCCATTTGCCTCCATTACATTATCTTGGGGCCAGTAGGTAGTGTGGTGGTTAAGGGTGCTGGACTACCACATGGCCGACCATGGTTTGAGTCCTGGACCTGGCAGCTTGCTTTCTCACTTTTTCTCTCACTCTGTCCCTCTCTGGTCAAAGAAAAATAAATAAATAAACAAATAAAGTTCAATAAAATGATTCTTTAAAAAATTATCTTTGCACCTTTGCAAAAGATTAATTTACCATGTACATCTGATTTTTTTTTGTTTTTGTTTTTGAGAGGTTTTTGCTACAGGGCGTGTGCGCTCACTAGAAAGAGAGAGACAGATAAAAAGCGAGAAATCACCCCGCACGGGGGATAGCCATGCCACATCCCTTCTCCTCCATTCTCCTCCAGGGATCTTGGACATGCACATGTGCCTGGCGTGAGTTTAAGCCACCAGGTCCAGGACTCGAACTGCAGTCGACTACATGGGAATTCAGTGACATAGCCATTGTGCCAACTGCTGGTCCCCATGTACATCTGATTTTTCAGGTTCTCTATATTCTGTACAATACTTCTTTTTTTTTTTTTTTTTACTTCTTTTCATTAGTACCATACTTTTTTTTTTTGAGAGAGTTTTGCTATAGGGTGTGTACAGAGAGACAGAGAGACAGAAAGCGAGAAATCACCCCCCAGGGGGGATGGTCACGCCGCAATCCCTTCTCCTCCATTCTCTTGGGATCTTGGGCACGCATGCACACATGCCTGGTGTGCGGTTTGTTTTATTAATTAATTGATTAATTAATTTTAAAATTAATTATTTATTTTGCATTCATTCACTGAACATCATCACAGCACACAAGATGCAGTTTTGGTGTGCGGGTTTCTTTCTTTTTTTTTTTTGAGAGGTTTTTGCTATACAGTTGCGTGTGTTTACTAGAAAGACAGAGAGAGACAGAGAGAG